TTTTTTTTTTTTTTTTTTTTGGGATGAAGTAGGAGAATTTCATTAAAGGCATCAAGAAGATGCATAGCAAAAGAGAGTACAAGTAAATAGAGTGTATCTGCCGGCATATACCTCTTCCTTGAATATTAAATGGTTGCAAGGAGCTACGAGCTACAATTTAAGGTGTCAAACGAGTATACCAATAGGAGGAAGAGCTTTCTGAGGACATATTGGTTCAGGATTGTTGGAAAGTGGGTTGGCTCACCAAAGGTTATATTATATATAGGCGTTAGAGGCGTGAGAGCTAGCTTCTGGCTTGACAAGTGTCACCCTACGGTGACACGAGTTTTCCTTTTAGATTCACTAGCAACGAGCAAACCACAATAATATTTTCTGAAGGCCAAAGATTGATTGATGGAAATTTTCTAAAGGTTGAAAGATGGAGTGATATGTTAGGATGTGTTGACCCTAGGTATGACGGCGATGTGGTTGCACCTATGAGCACACATATTGTGTTTCGATTTTTTCAAGAAAGTAGGGGGACATGTTTGGGGTTTTGTAGACGTTATATGTAGCAAGCATGACATGTCAAAGGTTAGTGTTTTGGTGAGGAATGGTGGTAATATACCTAAGTCAGTAGTAGTTGGTGATAGGTAGGTTTGGCACAAAGTTTGTTTGTTTTCGGAGTTTTACACTAAGGCCTTTCTTGTGTGAGAGAAGATTTTCGGGGTAGGGAAGAGAGAGGGAAGGGATTACGAGGGAAAGAGAGAGAGGCAGTGCATAAAAGAGGGGGAGTTTCTCATGGTTGGCAAATACGGTGGATATGCCGAGAACGAGCATGTTTAGGGGTAAATTTGGCGGTTAGTTTAAATTGGGGGAGATGAAGAATTTAGCTAAGTGCTCGAACTCTTTCCTTTGGTGTCGCACCCGTGTCGACACGACGTGGGATGGGTGTGGGTGTAGGATCCACCGGATCTGTTCAACTAATTTTGGGTACTTTGATCAAAATCGACGGAGGAATTAGGGACAGATACAATGATTTTTAAAAACAAAACAAAAGTTAGGGTGATACCGGAGAAAATGAAATACCTTATATATAGAAATTTCTACGTAGGTCCTTTTCCTTTTATCGCCTTTTAGGATTCTCTTCTTGTTTAATATTTTCGAATACCTTGCAAGTTTTCCACATAATGTCTCATAATTTGGACATATTTCTATAACTCTATTTTTAAATATTTGAATTATTTTAGCCAAATCGCCGCATCCATATCCGTACCCCCGAATCTTATAATTTAGATCATGAAGGATCCGACCTTTAGATCCGCACCCGTATCGGACACCCGCACCCGAGTCCGATCAACTTAGAAATTTAAAAACTATGGCAAAAAGATTAGAGTGCCCTTGAATTAGGTTTATGACATGGAGGACTATATTGAATCGGGTTACTAAAACACACAGAGTGGTCACATGTCTTAGGGTTGGGTCAAAAGCCCTTGGCCTCTTCTCTACTCAAGTTGGAGGCTAGGGAGCATAACTCTAGTGTTGTTTTTATTGTAGAGAGGAAACTAGTTAGTGCCAAAGGGGTAACATCAGTGTGGTGACTCGTCGGGAGCACAAATTTATAAAATGAGTAGGGGGAAGGC